AAAAAGAGGAGTCAGAAGGATTGTATCGTGAAGACTGAAAGCTAGTCTATACAGATGGGAGAGGCTGGCCTTACCTGAGCCCTTGGACCCTTCTCACCTGAGATGTTGAACCAGAAGAGGCCAGGGCGGCCCTCAACACTGATGACCCCCACCATGTGGTTCACAGGGTCTGTCTCCATGACTGTAAAGCTGTAGTGGGTCTCGTCAAAGGCCAACGGTATGGAGGAGGGCCGGGGCTGGGGGATCCACTCGATGTGCAGCCGGACACTGGCTGAGAGTGGTGGCTGTCCACTGTCTGTAGCCTTGATCTGAAAAGAGGTCAAAACTGAAATTTAGGCTTTAGGCTTTGTCTGGAGGCTGGAAACCAACAAACAGCATGCCCTGGACTCTAGCTGAACAGGTCTCTCATTTCCTTGTTCATTTATTTATTCAGTACATGCTTGAGTGTTTATAAACAGGTACTATGCTGGTTGTGCAGACACGGTGGTGACAAAACATATAAACTATGCTTAAGAGCCTCACAGTTAGTGAAAAATAAGAACACAATTAACTGAAGGCTGACTGTATGTTCATGCCTACATTGGATTTTGCACACGTGTGTCCTGTCGTGGATTGAATTGCTGTTGTTAAGTGCCACCAAGTTGGTTCTGACACATAACAATCCTGTGTATGGTTTCCAAAGAGCAGCTGGTGGGTTTGAATGGCCAACATCATGGTTTGAAGTCCAGTGCTGACCCCACAGCACCAAACCAGGAGTCCCCTCAAAATGTCTATGCCAACTTGGCTAGTCCATGATTCCCAGCATCGTGTGGTTGTCCTGAACTCTGTGATCTGATGTAATTGTCCTCCCTTTTATGATGCAGGATTAGTGTGGGATGTATCTTAAGTCATAGCCTTACAACCCATGATTCAAGTCACACCCTTGCTTAAGTCACACCCTTTATCTCACAGGGGATAGAAGGAGAGATAGTCCTAACTACCACATAAGTTAAAAAAAAACGGGAGCAGAAGAATCCTTTGGACCGAGGATCCCTACACTGAGAACCTCCTAGATCCAGTGAAAGACTGATGCCAAGACACATAGATGTTAAGAGGAGACAAGACTCTCTCTCCCCCCAGAATCAGAGTTTGGATTTCTTACGAATTGGGCTGCGAACCTCAGGGTCAGCAGTTTGAAACTACCATATGTTCCGCAGGAGAAAGATGAGGTCTTCTGCTCCCGTAAAGATTTACAGCCTCGGAAACCCTGTACAGGGTCGCTATGAGTCGGAACCGACTCCACGGCACATAACAACAACAAAGTATAAGAAAATCAATTTCTGTTTGTTAAAGCTATCCACTTGTGGTGCTTCTGTGATGGCAACACTAACAAACTTACCAATAAACAGAATGAACTAAAAAATATTGAGCCCTTACTATTAGCAGACGCTAAGAGCTGTATGTACAATATGTACAATATCTAATTTAATCATCACAACAGAAAGTGGGCTTTTCAAAGAAGGAAACTGGGGCTTTGAGTAGTGAAGTCACCTGCCTGGGATTATATGCCTACCAGGCTATGAGGCTCGGGCGGCATCCGGCTGTCTGACATGAGAGTCCATGCCCTAGCCATTTACTATATTAACTTTCCACAAGGAAACTGTTATTATACCCATTTTACAGATGACAAAACAAAGGTTCAAAGGTCAAAAGTCACATAGGCATAATGTGGCAGAGCTAGGTTTAGAATCAATGTTCATCTTGATTCCACAACCCAGGTTACTTTCACAAAAATTTGTATCTAAAAAAAAAAAAAAAAAAGGCCTTATATTTCAGAGTACAGTAAACTTCCTACTGCCCTCAAAACAACAGGCCCCAACTTCTGATCATTTGATATCCTCAAGATTGCTGATTTTTCTGGTAGACAGCCAGGGAGAGGAGTACAATTTCCTTGCCTGGTGTTGTTCAGAGTTATTCAGTTGGTTCAAACTAATAGCTACACTATGTGCAGCAGAATGAACTGCTGCCTGATCTTACACTACCCTCCCAATTGTTGCTGTGTTTGTTTTTGAGTGCATTGTTGCAACCACCGTGTCAATCCATCTTGTTGAGGGTCTTCTATTTGTTCACTGACCTTCCACTTTACCAAGCAAGGCATCCTTCTCCAGAGACTATTCCCTCCTAAAAACATGTCCAAAGTACATAGGTCTCCCATCTAAGGAACCTTCTGGCTATACTTCTTCCAAGATTTGTTCATTCTTTTGTTCATGATGTATTCAATATTCTTCATCAACATAATTCAAAGGCATCAATTCTTTTTTGGTCTTCCTTATTCATTGTCTAGCTTTTGCATACAGATGAGATCGTTGAAATACCATGGCTTAGGCCGGGTACATCTTAGTTCTCAAAGTGACATCTTTACTTTTGAACAATTTTAAGGGGTCATTTGCAGCAAATAGGCCCAGTGTAATATGTCGTTTGCTTTCTTGACTGTTGGTTCCATGGGCATTAATTGTACATACAAGTAAAGTTAAATCCTTGACAACTTCAATATTTTCTCCATTTATCATGATGCTGCATTTTGGCGCAATTGTAAGAAGTGTGTGTGTGTGAGAGAGAGAGAGAGAAGAGAGGTTTATGTTGAGATGCAATACAGATTGAAGGTTGTAGTCTTTGATCTTCGTCACTAAGTACTTCAAGTCCTCTTCACTTTCTGCAAGCAAGGTTGTGTCATCTGCATATTACAGGTTGTTGGTGAGCCTTCCTCTAATCCTGATGCTGAGTTCTTTATAAAGTTCAACTTCTTGAATTATTTGCTCAGCACACAGATTGAATAAGTATGGCAAAAGAATACAACCCAGACACACACTTTTTTGGCAAGGGGATACTATATCCCTCCTGTGTCCCCCCAAGTGCTGCAAACCACTGAAGTCACTCTTCCCTTGGACCTCCATGCATCTACTCACTGGTAGGATGTTGTACTCCCCAGCTGCAAAGGTTCTGCTGGATGACACCACACCCGTGACTGGGTCGATACTGAAGCCCTCCTCGTCACTCTCTTCGATGCTGTAGGTGATCCTGCTATTAAGACCCTCATCCAAGTCTGAAGCCACCAGCCTGTACACAGGCCTGGGGGTTTCCAGGCTCAGCCTCTCTGGAAGGCGGACATTGAAGAGTTTGTGGGAGAACACAGGTGGATTGTCGTTGACATCCAAGATGCGTACTACAACCCTGGAGGTGGACTTCAGTGGAGGCTCCCCATTGTCCAGCACGGTCACCTAGAGATAGAATTGAGCATGAGTGCCAGAGTTGCCACAGGCCAAACATTGAATGTAAGTTGCCCACTGCAAACTTACCACTGCTCTGGACAACCTGGAAGTAGGTGCCAGGTTGTTCTTCAGTGCAGGCCCTTTATTTGATTATCATAACCTCACCTACTTGGAACTTGGGTAACCTCGCCCACAAGAAAGCCAGTGAGATCAGAGAAAGAAACCAGAAAGAACTGGAAGAAGACAGAGGCAGAGGCTCCAGCCAAAGCTGGCACTCTTTCCTCAGGAAGGCTATAGGCCATTTCTCAGAGACTTTTCATCTGCTCTTAATTCTAACAAGCTTTGTTCTTGGGTTTCCTTAAGCTACTTGAGGTTAGAGAAAACAAATGAGAAGATATTTATGAAGGTAGTACCTTGTGAGCCAAACACGCTGCCCAACGCATGAAATAAAAGTCAGAAAGTGAGACAAAAACACTGTAATGATTTCAGAATCAAGACTTATTTCATGCAGGGACAAATCCTGCCACATATCAGTAGTCCAGAAGGCACCTCAAGACATAAGAAAGGACATTTCCAATTGAAATGGTTCTGAATTTTTAAAATATTTTGGTGTTTAAAAATTAAATACCTATCACTGAACTATGGAGAAAGTTTCTGTCCCTCGAAGCATTGAAAGGCTTGTTAGCTACTGCTTATGAATAATATCTAGTTCTTACAAAGGGAAAGAGAATATGCAGAGCTTGGGAACAAAGAAGGCAAAATGTATTTCAAGCCCTCCCCTCCTGTGGTCTTAAAGATGAGAAAAGATGCGTGTTTATCAGTTATGTACAGTTCAAGAGGGGGCATAGCTTGATTCCCCACCTGACATCCCAGGGTTAATTAAGTGTTGGGCCACTAACCTCAAAGTCGGTGGTTCAAACCCACCAGCAGGAAAAAGATGAGACTGTGTCTATTTCCATAAAGACTTACAGTCTCAGAAACCCTACAGAGCACTTCTACTCTGTCCTATAGGGTGACTAACAGCTGGAATCAACTCAATGGCAATAGGTATGGTTTTTTGGCTTAAGTCAGGAACCAACATGTCTCACTGGAATGGGCATCAGAGATGTCTATGTGATTTTAGAAACATCCTGGGATAAGCCCATATCTAGAAGACAAAGGTCTGCTATTGACCTGATGTTGCTCTTTCTCTAGGCCAGAGAATGGCCTGGAAACTAGATTAGGCAAGTGCAGAGCACACATTTACACTCTCCCTTCCTGTGCTCACTGCAGACATTACTAAACAATCAATGTTTCCTGTCCAACCTGGACATGGTTTTAGATTCCTTCACAGTGCTGAAGAGCCAGCAAAGACCCCTAAAGTCTCTACCACCAACCATAGCAAGGCTCAGCGCAAACATCTCCTCCTCTCTGAGCCCAGCATCCTCCTCAGCCACAGCATTTGGATACAAGCATGTGGCCCTAGATCTGGACTTCTTCTGGAGCCTCCACATCTCCAAAGCCAACCCCAATGACTCCCTCACTATTACTCACCTCCAGGATGTGTTCATCCTTGTTCTCTCGGTCCAGCTGCCTAGCTGTGGAGAGGAGACCTGGGGAGAAAGATGACAGGAGGAGATGTGAGCACAGAGTTCTCAGGGTTACTTTCCTGGGGTGAAATTCAAGGATTACATTTAAATCCCAGCACAGAATTTTTCTGTTCTGTCAAGAGAAGGTACATTAAGAGGAAATGGCGCCCTGGGGGAGGGAAGGGGAAAAATAGGAAGCAGGAGATGTTCCACCCACTTTCCACGGTCAACATTATGCTAAAGTGATAGTTCAAAAATTCAGCAACCAGGATAGCAGGAGCAGCTCATTGTTTTTCTCCTCCAAACAAATGCTTCCCAATCACTCCAGCTTGAAACCTCAGGCCCATCCTTGACCCTTTCCTCTTTCTCCCCTCCCTGATCCAAAATTTTTCTAAGTGTTATTGGTTCCACTTCTGATCATTGCTGATCATTCTGTTCTTTTCAACCGTACCCACCACATTCTAGGTCTTACTCCAACAACACCTCCTGTTTCATTCCCAAGTCCTCCTTGCATAAGCACCATGGCAGCCAACACTTAGTGGGCACTCAAATGCCCAGGCACTCTTCTAAATTCTTTATATCTCTGTATATATTCATTTGGACTCCAGATGTGTTGCTATAGGATCAGCACTGGACTGTGAACCACAAGGCTGGCAGTTCAAACCCACCAGCTGCTCCTCGAAAACCCTATACAGAGTCACTATGAATTAGAACCAACTTGATGGCAATTAACAACAATATATTAATCCATTTAATCTTCATAACAAACCATAAGAGGGAGGTATGATTATTATATCCACCGTACTAGGGAGAAAAGCGATGCATAGGGCAGGGAAGCAATTTCCCAAGGCCTCAGTCACTAATGGCAAAACTGGGATATGCTTTTAGAAACTGTTTCTAGGTCTTCTTACTTCCAGGCTAAGGGTCATGCCATGCTCTCCTAGTCTGCCACTTGTTACATTCTTCCCATCCTTCAGCTCAACATAACCCCCTCCCTGGTCCATAGAGCCACTGCGGATCCACCACACAGAGCAGCTTCCTCTCTCCTCTGAGCACCCACGGCACCATATCTACGCCTCTTTTATGATGTTGTGCTCCTTTACGTTGGTTTTATAGTTACATCCAGATCTTCATGTTTCTGATGGTCAGAATTCCTCAAGCCCGGAAACCATGTCTTATTTATCTTTATGTCTCTACACAGCATCTTGTTTAAAGACTTTGCTAAGGAGAACATGAAAAGTACCGCGGACTGCCCAAAGAACAGACAAATCTATCTTGGAAGAAGTATGCCAGAATGTTCCTTGGAAATCAGGATGACCAAACATTGTTTCTCATACTTAGGACATATTATCAGGAGGGGCCAGTCACTAGAGAAGGATATCATGTTTGGTAAAGTGGAGGGTTGGAGAAAAAGGGGAAGACCCCCAAAGAGATAGATTGGCACAGTGGTGGCAGCGATGGGCTCAGGTGTAGCAATGACTGTGAGGTTGACCCAGGACCAGGCATTGTTTCACTCTGCTGTGCATAGGGTCACTATGTGTTAGTATAAACAAGATGGTACCCAACAACAACAACAAGGTCTTTTCAATGTTTGCTGAATAAATGACCTTGGGTTTAACAAAAGACTGTGGATACTGGTAAAGATTTATTTATTTATTTAGATTTATTGAGTTACCATTGTGTACCAGGCACTGGATATATTATGGAGGGCAAAAAGATTCAAGGTCCCTTTTCTTAAGAACCAATCTTTGGAGACTTGTGAAGGTCATGTAAATTAGTGGAATGCTCACGCAAATAAATGTAATATTCTCTGTGGTCCACCACTAATCTGTCCGTTTGTTGTACTGTGGTGGCTTATGTGTTGCTGTGATGCTGAAGCTAAGCCACAGGTATTCTGAATGCCAACAGGACTACCCACAGTGGACAAGTTTCATCTGATCTTCTAGACCAAGACAGACTAGGAAGAAGGAGAGACGGACTGCTTCCAAATATTTAGTCAACGCGAACCTTATGAATAGCAGAGAAACACTGTCAGACAGCACCAGAATATGGAATATTGAAACATGAATAGCACTAGAATAATGTCAGATATAGTACTGGTAGATGAGTCCCTCCAATTGGAAAGCACTCAAAATATGACTGGAAAGAGTTGCCTCCTCAAAGTTAGAACAGACTGTTATGATGTGATTGGAGTAAAGCTTTTGGGACCTTCATTTGTTGATGGGCCACAGCTCAAATTGAGGAGAAACAGCTGCAAACACCCATTAATAATTAGAACATGGAATGTATGAAGTATGAATCTAGGAAATTTGGAAACTGTCAAAAATGAAAAGGAATGCATAAATATCAATATCCCAGGCATTAATGAACTGAAATGGACTGGTATTGGCCATTTTGAATCTGACATTCACTGGGTTTGCTATGCCAGAAATGACAAATTGAAGAGGAATAGCATTACATTTGTCATCAAAAAGAACATTTCAAGATCTGTCTTGAAGTATAATGCTGTCTGATATAGGATAATATCCATACATCTACAAGAAAGACCAGTTAATACCACTATTTACTCAAATTTACACACCAACCACTAAAACCAATGATGATGAAATTGAAAAATACTACCAACTTCTTTGGTCTGCAATTGATCAAGCAAGTATTAATAATTACTGGTGGTTCGAATGCAAAGGTTGAAAACAAAGAGGAGGTATCAGTAATTGGAATGTATGGCCTTGGTAATAGAAATTATGCTGGAGATTGTATGATAGGATTTTGCTAGAACAATGACTTCAATGTAAATACTTTTTTAAAACAACATAAAATATGAATATACATATGGAATACATAAAAATCAAATTGGTTACATCTGTGGAAAGAGACAGTGGAAAAGATCCATATCATGAGTCAAAACAAGTCTAGGGGCTGACTGTGAAACATACCATCAATTGTTCATATCCAAGTTCAAGCTGAATCTGAGGGAAATGAAAACAAGTCCACGAGAGCCAAAATTTGACTTTGAACATGTCCCACCTGAATTTAAATAACATCTCAAGAACATATTTGATGAATTGGATGCTAATGACCAAAGACCAGAAGAGTTGTGGGATGACATCAAGAGCGTCATACATGAAGAAAGCAAAAAGTTGTTACGAAGAGAAGACCCAAATGGTTGTCAGAAGAGTCTCTGAAACTTGCTCTCCAGTGTTTAGATGCTAAAGTAAATGGAAGAAATAAGGAGATAAAAAAGCTGAACAGAAAATTTCAAAGGGCAGCTCAAGAAGACTAAATCAAATGTTATGATATGTGCAAAGACCTAGAATTGGAAACCATAAGGGAAGAACACACTCAGCTTTTCTCAAACTGGAAGAATTGAAGAAAAATGTCAAGCCTCTGCTTGCCATACCAAAGGATTCTATGGGCAAAATATTGAATGGTTCCAAAGACATCAAAAGAATATGAAAAGAATGCACAAAGTCATTGTGCCAAAAAGAAATGGACGATGCTCAATCATTTCAAAAGATAGCATATGATCAAGAATGAATGGTACTGAAGGAAGAAGCCCAAGGTGCCTAAATCCATTTTCAAAGAACAAGGCTCCAGGAATAGATGGAATACAAATTGAAAGCTTTCAACAAACTGAGACAGTACTGGAGGCACTCACTCATCTATGCCAAGAAATTTGGAAGACAGCTACCTGGTCAACTGACTGGAAAAGATCCCTATTTGTGCCCATTCCAAAGAGAGGTGACCCAATAGAATATGGAAATCATTATGCAGTATCATTAATATCACATGCAAGTAAAATTTCGCTGAAGAAGGAAGACTCACCAGCAACTTGTGGTATACAACCTTACTTGCTGAAAGCCAAAGGACTTAAAATACTTATTGATGAATATCAAAGACCACAAATGTCAGTATGGATTGCATCTCAATGCAAAGAAAATTAAAATGTCACAAGTGTACTAATAAATGTTGTTGTTGTTGTTAAGTGCCATGAAGTTGGTTCCGATTCATAGCGACCCTGTACAGGGTTTCTGAGGTTGTAAATCTTTACGGGAGCAGAAAGCCTCATCTTTCTCCCGTGGAACAGCTGGTAGTTTCAAACTGCTGACCTTACAGTTCGCAGCCTGATTTGTAACCACTACAATACCAGAGAAATAAATAGAGAAAAGTTAAATTTGTCAAATACTTCATTTTGCATTGGAAAGCAGGAGACAAGAAATCAAACTATGTATTATTACATTAGACAACTATGTTGCACAAATAAAGATGTTAGTTTGCAGATGAAGATGTGTATGATCCAAGCCATGGTATTGTCAATAGCCTTATATGCATGTGAAAGTTGAACAGTGAATAAAGAAAACAATAGAAGAATTGATGCATTTGAGTTAGGGTGTTGGAGAAGACTATTAAAAGTACCATGGACTTCTAGAAGAATAAACAAATCTGTGTTAGAAGAAGTACAGCCAGAATGTTCTTTAGAGGCCAAGATGACCAGACTTCATCCATCATACTTCAGACATATTATCAGGTAAGACCAGTCCATGGAGAAGGACATCATTCTTGATAGTATGGAGGGGCAGTGAAAAAACGAGAGAGACCAATGAGATGGATTGGCATAGTGACCGCAGCAGTGGACTCAAGCATAGCAACAATTGTGAGATTGGTTCAAGACTGATCAGTGTTTCATTCTGTTGTTCATAGGGCTGTTATAGAAACTAACTCAGTGGCACCTAACAACAATAATAACAGTTCTCTCTGGTAAGTGTTATAAAAGTGGGTAGATGGTGTTACAAGGTGTCTGATAGACGCGGAAAAACATCTCTAAGGAAAGAGCAGCTGGACTGAGAGCTAAAACAAGGCTCTATGAGGACAGAGTGGTGGAATTTGCAAAACGCCCTGTGCCAGGAGGGAACATGAACTAAAGAAGGCCGTGCTGATGGAACCAAGAGAATGACCAGGTAAGAGGGACAAAATGAAGCCAGAGAGGTTGGCAGGGTGCAGATGAAGTATAAATGTGTGGGATACAGCACGATCTGACTTTATCTTAAGTATACAGGGAAACCATCCAATCACAAGGTCAGCAGTTCAAACTCACCAGTCACTTCTTGGAAACCCTATACAGGATCACTGTGAGTAGGAACTGACTCAATAGCACTTAACAACAATGAGAAAGAGGCTGTGGGTGATGGAAAGAGTAGTGATTTTTACCCAATTTTTCCTCATAGCAATAATTAAATATTTAATATTTTAAAATATTAAAGTAAAAAATAGTATTTTACTTTACAATGTTTAAGAGTTTTCTGTTCCCCAGCTACAAGAAGACTGGGAATATCTCTGCCCTCAAGAGCATTTTGCCAGACCTAGCCTTGGTGTGGTGCTGTAGGATAAACACTGGACTACTAACCGAAAGGTTGGCAGTTCAAATTCAGCAACCCCTTCTTGGAAAGCTTATGCAGAGTTGTTATAAATTGGAACCTACTCCACAGCACTTAACAACAGCAGCAGTGTCAGGGAACTGTTGACAGTAAACAGAACAAGGGTTTGGATGAAGTTGAGAAATTAATGTTTCAGGTAAGAAATCTCTGCCTTCTTGTGAAAACAGACGGACAGGGTGGACCCAGGGAAAGCTAGCTTAGACCTATTGACCAGACTTCAGGGAAAAACACCCTCTTTGTAGAAGGACGAATCCATATCCTGAGGTCAAAGGTTAACAGGAAAAGTTTCCAACAATATCAGTGGGCCAATACACACTGTATTCCCCACCAGCTGTCTGCACCACCATTCTCAGATTCATGGCTCCTCCTGGTTTTCTTTTGTCTGGAGGATGGAATACTCCCTGCTAGCAATCTGCCTCTCCCTCCTTCCTCCAGTCATGCCAGAGTTCTGTCCTTCCAGGACAAGGGTACATTTTTGTGTCTGGAGAGTGAAATACTGGGTTTAGAAGAGGAAACATCAGTCTTCTCTACAAGAAGGGTGGTGTTCATCCTTCAAGAGGAAAATGTGGCCCTTGAGAAGTGTTCATAGTAAAGTGAACTGACTCTCAGGTTCTAACACAAGAGGAGCCAGGCTGGTAGCATAAGTGGGGAATGATATAACTGTGAGTGATGGGAACCCTGGAGAGCATGTGTCTGGCCTACATAGGGAGCTGCTGTCAGCTCCAGTCTGGTGGCCCTATGGGAATATACAGTCAGTATGGCCAGATATTCCAGTTCTCCAAGAACCAGAAATCTGCAATCTTGTGAATGTGAAATATGCTGTTTTTCAAGTGTTGGCAAATACTTGGGAAATAAAATTATTCCAAGACTGTACAAGCCAAACCAAACACTTCTGTGGGTTACATCTGGCACGCTGTGGCCAGCTGTGACCACTGGATTCCTCTGCTCGTTTCACCATCCTTGTCCCAGTCTGCCTTGTGCTCAAGGACAGATGTTAGTGAGATGGTTGTTTGGACTTTGGTGTTGTTAGCTGCCAATAAGTCAGTCTTTGACTCATAACAACCCATAGGACTGGACCACTATAATTGATAAGGTTTTCACTGGCTAAGTTTCAGAAGTAGATTGTGAGGCTTTTCTTCCTAGTCCATCTTAGTCTGGAAGCTCCACTGAAACCTGTCCCGAATCATAGCAACACACAAGCCTCCAGTGACAGACAGGTGGTGGTTTGCATGAAGCACATTGGGTGGGAACTGTATCTGGTCTCCTAGATGGAGGATGAGAATTCTACTGCTGCCCTGAATTTTACTTTTGTTGTTGTTAAGTACCATTAAGTCAGTTCTGACTCATAGCAACCCTGTATAGGGTTTCCAAGGAGTGGCTGGTGGGTTTGAACCTCTGACCTTGAAGTTCAAACTGACTTTATGGTCCAGTGCTTATCCTACAGCAGCATCACACCAAGACTCCAATTTCACTTTAGTGGATCCTTATTGCCACTGCTCTGTGGGCAAGTTTGGGATTATTCAGGAATCTAGGGTAAGTGTTTTTATCTGTGGTTTGTGGCTCAGGGAGGGGTCAGTTTAGGAGCACTGTGGAGGTACTATGTAGTACCAGTTTGACCACTGGGCAGCCTGTTTACCATCCCTGAGTCCCAAAAAGATAAAACCAAAATCTTTTTTCATTTTCCCTTGAAATGGACTTTGCAGAGAAGTGGCTCTCAAACTTTAGCACACACCAGAATTCCTTAGAAGGTTTGTTTAAACACAGTTGTTAAGGTCTTACCCTCAGTGTTCTGATTCAGTCATCTCTGATGGGGCCTCAGAAGATAAACGTCTAACAAGTTCTCAGGTGAGGCTGATGATGCTGGTCTGGGACCTGGCCTTGAGAACAACTGTCATAGAGAATTCTCATCACTGAGCTTTCTAGGGTCCTTACCTGTGAGAGGATGAATAACAAAGAACCCCATGTGGTTTCCACTGGTGATGTTGAAGGTCAGCTTCCCATTGGAGCTGGAATCTGGGTCCCATGCATCCAGCTGAAGTACAGAGGTGTTCAAGGGTGCATCCTCCCGGACAGAGGGATAGAATACAGGTCTGGACATCCGGGGTGGGTTGTCATTGACATCTGTAACCTCAATGTAGACTTCAGTTATGGAAGAGAGGGGCACAGAGCCCTTGTCCACTGCCAGTACAGTCAACCAGTAGTAGGATACAAATTCTCGGTCCAGGGGTACCATGGTCTGAATCACTCCTAGGGACAATGAATCACAAAACCCAAAATATATTAATGGCTTTAGAAAAACCTCAAAGTGGCTTTAAAGAACAGCTTACCCAAAATTCCCCAAAGTGTATTATGGAAAGAATATTAATTGGTGTTCTATAAACCAAAAAAGTGTGTGTGTGTACGTTGCCCATATGATACTGGAGGTGCTGAATTAAATAAAGAGAAATTTTGAGTAATATCCTTATTGAGACACAGAAAGATGGACAAAACAGATTTGGAGGATGGTCCTGGACCTCTGAACTTACAATAAATAGATAAATAGGTGGCTCCAGGACTTACCTGAAGAAATAATTTGAACAGAAGCAAGAAAGGAGGTGAATTCTGATTGACTGCTTCAGTCATTTTGAGCAGGAGTGAGCGGATTGAAAGACAAGAGCGTTCCCATTGCAGAAACCTGCCTGCGACTTGCAGAGACGAAGTTTTGTTTCTTGGTCCTCATTCTATCTTGTGGGAGCATTTTCTCTTCTTGCCTCACCTGACAGGAGATATCAACTGCAGCCATACAGCCAAGCCTCAACTGCACCCTCTGCAACCCCACCAATTGGTCATGAGCCAATTCCAGCTACTACAGTGACTACTGCAGTGACTACAACCAATATCTACCAAGACCACTCTGAATTGAACTGTATGAACAGTGAACAGAGAAGCTCATCTCCTGATCACATCCACCAGGAGGCAATTGGTGAGTGCCTAAGAATACATCAATATACATCCAGCTGAATACAAATACAACACCACCACAACAGCAGAAAAATTCTGCTCACATGCAGACATAAGACAGAGTAACTCAAACAAATGACCAAGAGGAAAAATTAGAAAATGCTTTTGAGGAAAAAGAGGCACTGGAACTACCTGAACAAGAATTTAGGAGAATGCTATTGAGGTACATGCAAATGTTCCACAGAAAGATGGAGGAAAACAAGAAAAAATTCAGAAAAGTGCTACAGGAACAATCGAACAAAATAGATACAGCATTGGAGACAATAAAAAACCTGCAAACAGAGGTACAGATGATCAATACTAAAATATCAGAAATAGATGATACATTGAAAGGGCAAAGGAGTAGAACTGAATCAATGGAGGCCAGAATTAGCAAACTTGAAGATAAATCTCTCAATACTGTTAAGATAGAAGAATAATTAGGAAAAAAGAAAAAATCTGAAGAAAGCCTAAGATTCATGTGGGACAACATGAAGAGGAATGACCTATGAGTGATTAGAATTCCAGAACAGGAAGAAAGAGAGAAAACCACAGAAAAAATAGTCGAAGAACTGCTGGAAGAAAAATTTCCTAACATCATGGAAGATGAAAACATAAGCTAACATCAAAAAGCTGAGCAAATCCCAGGCAGGACAGACTCCCAAAAAACCCCACCAGAACATATTATATTCAAATTCTCCAGAATCAAATACAAGGAAAGAATCCTGAAAGCAATTCGAGAAAAACAAGATGTTACCTATAAAGAAAAACCAATAAAATTAAACTCTGATTTCTCAGCAGAAACCATGCAGACAAGAAGGCAATTGGGATACACAAAATTATGAAAGAAAAAAAACTGCCAACAAAGAATTATATACCCAGTCAAAGTTGTCCATTAAATATGATGATGAAATCAGAACATTTCAAGGTAAACAAAAATCAAAGGCTTTGAAAAAAAGCCAAGCCTATGCTCTGAAATATACTAAAGGGAGTTTGTTGGCCTGAGAACGAAAAAGAGTTGACATATGTGTCATAACAACCTGAAATTCAGTCCAGATATGGAAGTGTCCAGAGTAGAACAAAACTACAAGACTGGAAATAGGGAATCTGGGATGTCAATCTCTGATCAGGACAACTATAAAGCAAAGGAAGGGAAAAGTACGGTTACAGAGTTTCAGATGGTGAGGAGGTCAGGTAGATTTCAAGACAATAATATTATCCTTATTGTAGAACCTATCAGCACCTGTCTCTGCTAAAATGAGGATATGCAGGATTCCCAAGTTTATTTAACCAGAAGACATTGAAGACCCTTTTGTTGACATATTATATTCACCTGGGAAGCCATCTTCTCTCCCTGTTTTACAGGGAGGGAAACTGACAGACACCCTTCTGAAGTTGATTTTTACTTCATCTTAGAAGAACATTCAATGTATTGGAGAGAGCACTACCTTTGGAGACAGACAGACCAGGATTTGAACCCTGTGGTATCAGTTGCATGCTATCTGCTCCTGAGATTGCCATTTTCTTTTATAAACTGCTTGACAGTAATGACCTTGCCTCTCAGGGTGGTGTGAGGTTTAAATAGGACACCAATGATAGAACACAGCATAAAACTCAGAACTCTGTGGAGTTCAGCCTAAGGCACTTGAACTGCTCTCTCCTGACTACTCCAACCCAAGTCCTACTGATTTAGTTCACATACTGTAAAGCAGGATTTCTAGGGTGCTTAACAAATTTCAGCAGAGCTTCCAGACTAAGACAGACTAGAAAGAAAGGCCTGGTAACCTACTTCTAAAATCAGCAATGTGGCAATTAACAAAATGAAATGTCTTTGCTAGTAAATCAGTTGGTTTTGAGTTGATTCTGACTCATGAAGAGCCCATGTATGTCAGAGTAGAACAGTGCCAATGGCAGATATACAGGAAGTAGTTCCCTAGTCTATTTTTTCCAGTGTGATTCTGTTGTTTAGTGCCATCCAGTCAGTTCTGATTCATAGTGACCTGGATAAGGTTTTAGAGGAGGAGCTGGTGGATTTGAACTGCCAAACTTGCAGTTAGCATGTTATTCTTACAGTGCCACACCAGGACTATACTGTGACTGTGGATGAACTTAAAATCAAACCTTTAGGTTATCAGCCAAGGGCATAAACTACCTAGGGAATCTAACGATTGCCTCACAACTACCCTAAAACAGCTTCCATCAAGCTTTATGTTGTTATAGATATAAATCTAAAGGTTAGGGTTTGATGAAGAAATTGCTGTTTCCTTCTCCATGATCTTTATTTTGGAGACTCTGCTTCATTCATTCGTATACTCAAACTAAAAATATGTACTGAGGACTTGTTGACTATGGGCCAGCACTGTCCTAGAAGTCAAAGGTTCGAGAGTAAACAAAGAAAGCTTCCATCCTGAGCCCCCTAATGAATCCCAATCAGCTGTCAGGGCCTGTCAGCGAGGACAGGTCCCATGCTCACAGAGAAAGCCTGTCAGGACTGAAGGGCCTTTACTCCTTTGACAGGTAGGGGAACTGAGACCCAGAGAGGGAAAATAACTTGACCAAAACCATGTAGCAAGTAAGTGGGAAAATTGAAACTAGAATGAATGGTTGACAGTTGAATGTTTTTTTTAACTACATTAATCACACTGCCCTTTACTCTGGGACTAAATCACCCACCGGACTGTAAGTTCCTTGAGGGTCGTGGCTGCCTTTATCCACCTCGGATGTCCTCCAAGGTGCCTGTCTAAGGGAATCACAAGTGGTGGGTGCTCAGTAAATGTGTGCTGACTAGCACTTATTTTCTCTGAAGCAGAAATAAATAACTTGCTGCTAACTATTTGGAAACTCATTTGGAAATATCCATATACATTGAAAATGTGCAATAAAATAAGATAAACCTATGAACGTATACAATAAACAATGAATGGACTGCAAACCAAAAGATCAGTGATTCATGCCCACCAGCTGCTCCACAGGAGAAAGATGAGGTTTTCTGCTCCCTCAAAGATTTAAAGCTTCGGAAACCCTTTACAGGGTCACTATGAGTTGGAACCAACTCAACAATACTTAAGAACAATAACAACATGCATGTGTGTATGTACACCCACACACACACACACACACACATATATATATACATATGATATACATACATATCCGGTAAAGATACATTTAAAATAGAAGGCAGAAGAAGGTGGAAAAAATAAGAAAAAACAATTATATAAACCCATTGCCATGAGACACCTTCAACTCATGGCTATCTATGAGCTCCCTAGGGTTTTACTGGTTGTAATCTTTATAGAAGGCGATCACCAGGACTTTCTTCCACAGTGCCACTGGGTGGGTTTGAACCTTCAACCTTTGGTTAGTAGTCAAACACAAACCATCTATGCTATCCAGGCCTCTACAGGAAGGAGTTATTGTTGTTATGTGCCGTGGAGTTGGTGCCGACTCATCACGACCCTGTACAGGGTTTCCGAGGCTGCAAATCTTTACAGGAGCAGAAAGCCTCCTCTTTCTCCTGTGGAACAGCTGGTAGTTTCGAACTGCTGACCTTGCGGTTCACAGCCCGATTCGTAACCACTATGCTACCAGAGCTCCCTCATTATTGCCATTCCTGTTAGCCTGCAGCCTGATTTCTTTCAGGGCAGTTCTTGGTTTCCCTTGGGCTTATCTTTTCCCAGGCCTGACACTCTCATCCTACCGCACCCTCAGTACCTGTGTCTTGGTTGATGCTGAAGGTTGCAAGGCTGGTGCCAGCCCGCAAGAAGTACTGGAGTTCCCCATCCAAGCCACTGTCACTGTCATGGGCAGCCACTACCATCACCTGTGTTCCTGAGGGGCTGTCCTCCTGTACCTGGCCTTGGTGCACAAAGGAGGTAAAGCGGGGAGGGTGGAGATTCTCATTCACATCCAGGACTATCACTTCCACCTGGCACAGGGTCCGACGGGCGAGGGGCTTTCCACTATCACTGGCCCACAGACTCAGATTGTACCCAGCCCTCCTCTCAAAGTCCAACTCCTTCTCTAGACTAAGTGCTCCAGTCATCAGGTCAACCCGGAAGGTCCCATGGACATCATCCAGTAGCACATATTGCACTTCTCCCGCAGGGCCCAAGTCAGGATCAGAGGCGTCCAGAAATGTCAGGATAGTCCCTGGGGGCAGGTCCTCTGGGACCTTGAGCCTGCTGAGTTCTGTGAAGCACTGAGGAGAGTTGTCATTGGCATCTTCCAATGTGACTATCAGATCAGTGACAGAGAAGAGCTGGTGGTCCTTCCTGGGCTGGTCCCTGACTTCCACCTTGAGTATATACTGAGATTCTGATTCCCGGTCCAAGTGTCCTGTGACAATCAGTTCCCCAGTAAGGGGGTGGAGGGAGAACTTTTCTGTGGGAGTTAGCAGAGTGTAGCGGACCCGCCCATTGTCATCTGAGTCAGCATCTTTTGCTTTCAGCTGTGCAATTGTGCTCCCAACTTCTGTGTCCTCTGAAATGGTGACCTGGTATCCACCAGGAGGGAATCTGGGCGCATTGTCGTTCCCGTCTATTACATTCACCGTCAGCAGCTTCCAGGAGGACTTCTGGGGAATGCCTAGGTCGTACACTGTTATGTTGAGGATGTAGAAACTAGTGGCCTCATAGTCCAAAGGAGCAGCCACACTGAGCAGCCCTGTCTCCCGCTCAATATCAAAGCAGCCTTCCTCATTGCCATCTGCGATCACATAGACCAGTTTACCATTAAAGTCAGCATCAGGGTCAGTGGCTGCCAGGTGGGCCAGTGGAGTATTGACAGGAACATTCTCAAGGATGTCAATGGACTGGGGAAAGTGGTCCTCAAACTGGGGGATATGATGGTTGATCTGATAGGTGCTTAAGAATGTGAATTCTTCAGCACTGGATTCCTGATTTTGAAGCACAACAGAATGGAGAATGATGGTCTTTGTGAACTGTGTCAACACCCCTGTCTTATCACATGTCACAGGGACCTCTAAACGAGAGTTCTTTACCACGGTAATATTCAATGTGGTGGGCAAGGCATAGTATTTCCCATCTGAAGCTGTAATTTTCAGGGAATAGTGGGTGGGATGACCACCAGTATGGTTCAGAAAAGCACGGTTGAGGGATATTTCTCCAGAGAAATGATTTATATCAAAATACCCTAGTTCATTGCCAGATACAATCTCATATTTCAGATTCTGAAGTTCATCCACATCTATAGCTGACACAGTCATTAACGATTTCCCCACTGGAGAGTCTTCATGGATAGACCCAGTGCAATTGACTTCCTCAAACATAGGCTGGTTATCATTTAAGTTCTTGAGCATAAGAGAAATGGATACTTCTTTTACCCGACGAAATGGGGATCCCCAGTCTGATGCCCATACCCGGAAGGTATAAATTCTTTTCATGAGCTCATAGTCCATGGGTTTGGAGGTGGAAATGATCCCCAGGTAAGGGTCAATAGAAAATGGCACTGCTTTGGGACCAGCAATGGAATAGGTGATGTATCCATTCTCCCCATGATCCTGGTCTGTGGCAGTAACAGTCAAAATACTGGTACCTGGAGGGATATTCTCATCAAAGTTGGCATCATAGGAAGACTTGTTAAAGATGGGGGCGTGGTTGTTACAGTCTGTTATGTTGATGACCACCGTGGTGGAGGCCAAACCCAGTGAGGTTCTGATGTGTAACTGATAGTGGGCTCGGTCATGGAAGTCCAGGAACTTTGTAGTGGTGATCAGTCCGGTGTGCACATTAAGTTTAAACCCTGCACTCTCTGAGGATGGTTTTAGAACATACCTCTGGTTGGGGAAGGCTGGGGTGGCTTTCACCATCACCACACGGCTCCCAGGAGGTGAAAACTCACTGAGTTGTACTCTGTAAACAGCCTGCTCAAATTTGAGGGAAGCTACTTGGGAAGGGGGTAGATGAAAGCCCCGGATCTGAGAATTAAATGCAGGTTTGCTCCTGCTTTTGGCTTGAAGGCTAAGGTTGAAGCCATGAAGGTGCTCCACCCAATTGATGTCTTTGATGGACACCAAACTGAACTCATTCCTCTGGGCATAAGATTTGATGGCTTTGAAGTGCTTTCCAGGGTCACCACCAACAATTTCCAAGGAGTCCACATCAGTTCCTGAATTGCTGGCATCCACCGCTACTGTGGCATAGGTGGTGCCCTCATGGTCATCTGGTGGAGTCACTACTACGGAGGCAATGACTGGGGGCTTCCAGAGGGCAGGCTCTACTTGGATGACGAGTGCAGCTAAATTGCCAAACCCATTGCCCTCAGAGATTTTCCGCATGCGGTCTATAGCCAGCACCTGGAGCTCATGCTTCCCTCTCCATGTGACGTTGAGCTTCCCAGCCACAGTCACCACCCCACTGGTGGGATGAATGGCAAACATCTCCGACCTCGTGTTAAAGGCATAGTAGAACTCAGCATTCTGGCCCAGGTCAGCGTCTGTAGCAGTCACCTTGCAGATGGGACTCTTGAGGGGCATGTCCTCAGAAATGGTGACTTTGTATGAAGGTGGGGAAAAGAGTGGCTTCAGGTCATTCTGGTCCAGAATATGAACTACCACGTGGGTCAACGCTTCAAGTTCCAAGGTCTTTTCTGTGGCTTGGATAATGAGTGTATAGCTATCTCGTACTTCCCTGTTCAGAAGAGCCGTGTTGCTACTTTTTGTCCTTATTCTTAGAAAGCAGAAGTTGCCCACCACATACTCCTCTGTTTTAAACACATTGGCCACATCCCCAGAGATGATCCGGTACTTCACTGCCCACTGAGGCTCCGCGAGGTAGATGCCCATTTTCTCCATGCTCTCCACGTAGGTCTTCGGAGAGGAGTTTTCACAGATGGTGGCATTGTACAGGGGATGGGTGAAGTGCCAAGCTGAAGAGAAGATGGTGTCTTCTAGGGGCTTCTCACAGGTCATGCAGTGAAGCAAGGAAAAGGCAAAGACCAGTAAGACAATAGTCATGGTGAAAAAGTTCCTGTAACCCTGGACAAAAAAAACAACAAAGTGTAGATTAGGAAGGAAATGGATCTTGCTGCCATGATTCCAAACAAGGGTGCAGAGTTGTCCCCGTAGGACATTTATCAATGTCTGAAGGTATTTTTGGTTGTTCCAGATGGGGTGTTAACACTACTTTAGTGGGTAGAGGTCCAGATGCTACAACACACCCCGTAGTGCATAGGATAGCCTTCAAAGCAAACACTTATCTGGCCCCAGATGTCAGTAGTGGCAAGATTAAGAATACTTGTTCTCAAAGAATAACCAAGTAGCTTGAGATTCTTTCACAAGAGCACCCAGTAGCTACGCCACAATTCTACTTCATTCCTTTGCCACAAAAACCTTCTGTGACTCCCCAGTGATGACCAATCAGTCAAACCCTTATCTGGGAACCCAAGCGTAGTAGTCAAGCTCTACTATTCTTGTAGCTGTACTTTCCCTCAGTGCCCACCCACCCCTAATCAGGGTGAGCTCCAACCCCAGCAAGCTTCACCCACACATGGAGAGGCGGCAGAAAGGCTATGTGACCAAGGCCACAGGTCTCTGTCCTGGCTCTACAGTGTGCTAGTCGGGTGCTTTATGAGTAAAGTTATTTAATCTCCATGAACCTTGACTTTTCCCCTTTTTGTAAATAGGGGTAAGGATATTATTGCGATATATTCAAGTTACAACAAACCACACTTGTGATCTTCTGGGTTTTGCTGCTGCTGTTGTATAGCTTATTATGAGTACTAAGTACTATATACAATGTTGTAGAGCACAACTTGATAATGTCATCATTCTCAGATGTTCACTCACTCACAAGTCAATGTTACGACTTAGAAAGACACTGACAATAAAAGGCAATAATAACGAAAAGTTAAAGAAAGAGTGCAAGAATAATTTCTTTTAGAAGGATCAGCATGAGGCTGGTCTCTATGGGGTGGAGGCTAAAGATATCCCGAATGTCCAACTTGGACCATATTAAGTGGTTAACTACACTGCAGTGAGGTATTCAACTTACATCTAAACCAATTCACAACAGTCATAGAAATGGAGTCCCGTCAAAAGGTGAGCACTACCTGTCTACCTATTGTAAAAATTAAATAACATCACAAAGTTATTGGGACTTAGCATGATGTCTGGCACAGAGTAAGTTTTAATTATCATTATTAATAATAAGAAATGAAGGTTCAGAAAGGAGCCCTAATGGCACAATGTTTAAAGCGTTAGGCTATTAACAGCAATGTTGGCGGTTCAAACCCACTCGGAAAGAGAAAAAAAAACCTGATAATCTGCTTCTGTAAAGATTCTTGTTGTTGGTAAGTCAGTTCCAACTCATAGTGACCCTGTGTAGGGTTTCCGAGAAGCAGCTGGTACGTTTGAACTGCTGATCTTGTGGTTCAAGCCAAACTCGTGTTTATCCTACAGTCAAGAAAACACTATGGGCAGTTCTGCTCTGCCCTTATAGGGTCACTGTGAGTCAGAACCAACTCAATAGCACACAACAACTGTGAGAAATGTTGTTAATACTGACAAACACTAAGAAATCCAACCCGTACTCATTTTAGCAAGAGTGAAGTTTCCTTTATTTGATTTTGCACAATTGGGTGCCCAACCCAGTAGACACAGGCAGATGTACCGCATGGCCGGCCCAAAAACAGTTTTATTCCCCAGTCTCAATAAAGCCCTTCTCCAGTTCCACAATCTACCCCAATGGTACCCATGGCCTTAATGACTGTATTCTTATTTAAAGTTCCTAGCAGCAATAGTGAGGTTGGCCCAGGATCTGGCAGTGTTTCATTCTGCTGTGCATAAGGTCACTATGAGTCAGTAGACTCGATGGCACCTAACAGTAACAACGTCCTAGAACAGATTTCTTTCCTCTCTCCCCTAATTCATCCTGCTTACAAATTCCTGGGTGTGAATCAGCAACCTATGTCTGGTCTAGCAATCTCATGTGTCCTTTATTCCTGAAGATGGACCATCTTGAGAATTTCTCAACCAATAACAACAACACGATTCATAAGGAGGAGGGATCAGCCAGAGCCTTACAATTAGCTAAAGGCAAAGTAAGAGTTAGAACTAGTCTTCGAATCACAGGCCAGAGCTTTGCCCCTCATCAGTTGCTGTCAAATCAGCTCCAACTCATGGTGATCCCATATGTGTCATAGTAGAACTGTGCTCCTAGTGTTTTCAGTGGTTGAGTTTTGGGAAATAGATTGCCAGTCCTGTCTTCCAAGGTACCTCTGAGTGGACTCAAACCTCCAACCTTTCAGATAGCAAACAAGCACATTAACCATTTGCACTACCCAAGGACTCCTGCCACTCCCCCTACCCCAGGTTTATCCACCACACCTGCCCCACAAAGTCCTTTATGGACACAGACTGATTCTGATTCATCTTACAACTCTAAACATAGAAAACTCCTAAACTCCTAAAATGTCCAAGCTGGAATGGACCTTAGAGAGGATGGAGTTCTGGGCTCCACGTACAGATGGGGAAATAGAGTCTCAGAGATATAAGGGACTCCCCAAGTCACACAATGAGTGGCCAGATAAGAACTCATCCCTGGGAATTGTTGAAGTAACCATGGATGCACACTTAGTCCCTCTAGTCTATGCAGCTGGCCCTGTTCTCTCCCTTGTATTCCCCATCCCTGAATATGAAATTCACAAGGGTTAGGGGAGAAGCAAGAGTGATGGCTGGGCCCACCAGAGCCTGGCCGTGGGAATCTTGATTTCAAGGAGTCTGATGGTTCCAGGCCCAATGTGTGGCAGCATTCCTGGATAAAACAGGCAAGACTTGTTTTCCAGTTCCTTTCTCTTCAAAGGCAAGGAAGAGTTAAACTTCCAGGACAAGGGGGAAAGGAGAGACTTGGAGCCTTGTCTTTCCGAGTCTCCAGTGACCAGGTCACACATTCTCTTAGACCCTGCTGGTGTCATCTGGAGATGCGAGGCAGGGTGAGCTAAAAAGGTCTGTGACAGAGAACTTGAATGTTCCCCATCTTTCCAACTTCCCTACCACCACCTCTCACTTGAAATCCTGTTGGTAGCACCCCAATTCAAGGCACTCCAGATAAAAAAGGGGGACAGGACAGAGACAATCCTATACTTGGTGTCCTAAAACCGGTGACAGAAAGAAAGGTGTTATACATTTCCCACCCTTTGTACGTGCTTTCAACTCCCACTCCTTGCTTGCTTATCATTAGTTACAGCTTGGGACCTGCAGAGTTCATATTAGAGCCAGCCTGGGTGGGGCAGAAGTCATACTCACTCCACCCATGGCACAACCCCCATAGCAAGAGAGGACACACACACACACACACACACACACACACACACACACACCCGCAGCTACTCAGTCCCCCTCCCCTCCACTCCTTGCAGGATGGCATTGCTTTTAAAGCTGAAGTCCCAGGGAAAATGCATCCTTACCCTAGTCCTTGGTCCATTTACTCCCCAGTTCTGTGAGCCCTGGGCACATGCAGCCTCCAACTCTGCCTACCCTGCTTTGTAGAAAGTTTCCTGTTCACCAGGTCAGCACTGGTGTTGGGCAGGCCCCAACAAGACACACCGTGCAGTGGCTCCACAGACGCCTTGAAGCGTCAGAGCTGTTAAGCGGAGCTGGAGAGAAGGGCTCAGGGGTGGGGTCTCCCCTGGAGGGGGATAAAGCACAGGGAGAATGTGCCCTAGGATGGTGATTTGGTGCCTATAACTGTTTCCAAGTTGTAGGACCTGCAGATCTGGTGAGCGGTTTGTTCTCCCGGCACCAGGTCTGGGTAAGTGAACAACTTCCAGGTGCCTACTAGACTCCCTGGGCCACGTCCCAGTCCACAACACTCAGATACTCTATTTTGAAACATCTTGGAAAAGCATACATTAATTCATAACTCTTCCCTGCTTAAAAATTTCCAGTAGCTTCCTTTAGCACTTAGATTAAAATCTAAACTCTTTACTATGGCAAAGCCCCACACCATCTGGGCCCTGCCTGTTTCAGCAGCGGTATCTCCTTCCACTCCTCCCCTTCAACCACACCAGCTTTCTTCCTCCTCTGAAATTACACCAAGTTGGGACCTGCCTCAGGCCTTTGCACTTGCTTTGTCCCTCTACTTAAGATCCTTCCATGACTAGTTCCTTCTTATCATTCATTTCTCAGCTCAAATGTCACCTTCTAACCCCCAGTGTGTCCCCTGGGTGGTTGTTGTTGTTGTTGTTGTTGTTAAGTGCCATCGAGTCGGGTCTGACCCATAGCGACCCTGTACAGGGTTTCCGAGGGTGTAAATCTTTACGGGAGTAGAAAGCCTCATCTTTCTCCCGTGGAGTGGCTGGTAGTTTCGAACCGCTGACCTTAAGGTTCACAGCCCGATTCGTAACCACTACGCTACCAGAGCCCCTGGGTGGTACAAATGATTAATAAGCTCAGCCGCTAACCAAAAGGTTGAAGGTTTGAGACCTTGGTAGAAAGGTCTAGTGAACTATTTCTAAAAAAATCAGCAACTAGAAACTCTAAGGAACAGAGTTTTACTCTGACACACACGGGTCACCATGATTCAGCATCGACTTGACAGCAACTGACTTGTGAACAGGTCAATCCTTAGTTTGTAATAGTTTTCTTCCCTTTATCACATCTCCCTGGCAATTATCACCAGCCATTAATAATCATTAAGTAAATAAAGCATCTGTTGTTGATGCGAGGTGCCATGCTATGTTTATTCAATGACCATTTTCCCATTAGACATGAAGATAGCAGTTTTGTGACCCTTAGGTGTATGGATGAATCCCCAAGGCTTCAATGCTACTTGAAAAACAGAAGGATCTGAACTTAAGAAAATCAATGACATAATGAAAGCTAAGGATTCCTGGTGTGGCGCGGTGGATTAATGCGCTGGACTGCAAGGCTGGTTTGAAGCTCAAAGTTGGCGGTTCAAGATCACCAGCCTATACAGGGTCGCTACGAGTTGGAACCAACTTGATGACACTTAACAA